GCGATTCACATTACTATTATCAATTAGAATAACTTATGGTTGGCTTGGCTGGACAGAAAAATGAAGTATCCAGGCTCCGTTTAGAAAAAACAATAGGAGACTCGACCATAAAAGTGTCCGACGATCCGTACTCGTATAAGGAGCAGGCAGTGATGGACGTGGCCTAAAAGTTTGGCTTGATCGAGAGCTATGAGGTGAGAGCTTTGAGATAAAGGATAAGCCAACTTGTGAGGCCACATGAGATGCATTTAGGGATTCACTCAAAGGCAGAAATAGGTGGTCCTTGCATTTGTGATCGAGCTCCTTACCACATATAGCATTATCCCATAGCAAATAATCCCAAATTGATGGTGTCTACTTAATTTATAATAGCACGCCGTCCTGTCTCAACTTATGTGATAGGTCCATAGGATTAAACATCTTACCAACCTAAACTACTTTATGTCCCCATCTTCAAGGTAGGGTTTTGGGGCGTCGAATATCTTGAACTTACTTTGAGGTTGGAAAATGCTTCTTATAGGTCTCGTGTCAGAGCACCTAAGCACCAATTTCCTTTTGAATGGGCAATTGTTGGGATAGAAAATATAATAAGGAGCAATCATATTTTAAGACTGAACTCGAGATGCCAAGAGACTGTGTGAGCTCAAGCCTCTAGTCCTAAAGTTAACCACCTTATAATGGAGGATGTTCTTAGGCTTACTAGGCTAAGGAATGAAGTACAAACTTCGGGACTTGGTGAGATATTGAGAATGAATGTTACTAGCATGGACCATGAGGTACAATGTCACCTTGTTGATGAGTCCATCCCAAAGGAGATCGAGGCTGGAGATGACTAGGAGCACCACTTTGAAAATTGGTAAGCTTTCTTGACCTCGAGGATGATGCCCTGGGGAGGGTAGTGTTTATTTGAGCCTAACCTTTATCCCCGTACTAGTAAGGAAATGTCAATGTGCTAATCTTTTGAAGGCAACTATTGAGGTCGACCCTTTTGTTAGGTCCAATATTGTAATTGACAATTCTGTGAACAAAATATAGTAAATTGATCACATGTAAAAGTCAAGGACTTAGTTGCAATTTTGAATAGATGAGGTAAATTAGTGTTCGAATCATTGAAGGAGTTCAAGATGTCCAAGAAGATCACATATGACCATCGGAATGCAATTCGAAGTCTAAAGGATAACAAAGAGCAGCACAAGTTATGTTCTAAATTTTCAGTTGTAATTTTCAATGCATTTTTCACATAGAAAAATTAGGATTTGGTTAAGGCTATTTTTAGAATAATTGTAGCCCTTTAAGTTAGCTTTCCAACGCAAGTTGAATCACCTCCATCAAACATCAAAAGAGAAAGTTATGGTGAAAAAACTGACGACTGTTTGGCTTTCGCTTGATTCTCGCTGGCTTTTCGCTCAAGTAAAAAAAACAGAATGGCTTTCGCTTGATTCTCGCTAGATCATCACTCAAGCGACACTCTTATGCGGCAAAACTCCTAGTTCACTTTTTTAAGTGTTTTACTCGGTCCATACCACCAAAACACCTTCAAATATAAATATCCAAGCCCTAGCACGAATTCTGGCGTAGTTGTTGATTGTGCCTCTCTTAGAAAACATATTCTTATCATATTTTTGAAGATCCAAGAGCATGTCCAAGCATTGATTCATTTTAGTTATTCTTGAGATCCAACAACCACATATTGGAGAAAACATCAAAGGTCTGATAATCTAAAACACCTATCTTCCTTAATCTTTTGAGTAAGAGACTCTCTCACTGGGGGATTGAAGCGCAGTTACAAGCATAAGAACATGCAGTTCTTGGTGGTCCACATCAGAGAGACATTCAGTATAGATTAAGAGGCTGTAGGAGACAACAAATTGGGCTGTAAGAGGTAGATTTGGAGGTCTAGCAAGAGGCTAGAGGAATCTACAACAGTAGGAGGCTATAGGAGATAAATCAAGAGTTCTAGTGCTAGAGGTGTCTATGGCAGTAGATCGCAAAGCTGTGGCGACGAGTCTTAACGAGTACAAGGATAGGCTTGTCATTGTATACTCTGAATTGTCTATAATAGAGGTAACTAGCTTGATC